AGCTGGGAAAATGTTGGTTTGTATGCAGATAATAGGGTGGGGGGTGGGGTAGGATAAATGATAGAGCCCAAAGAGAGAGAAAGACAGTTGGATAGACAAAGGAGAGACAACAAGGTATAGCGCTGGATGAACACAGCAGGCCAGGCAGCATCAGAGGAGCAGGAAAGCTGATGTTTGGGGCCTAGAGCCTTCTTCAGAAATTTCTGAAGTTTGAAGTTCCTACTATATTTGGACAGACAAAAGAGTTGCTAACGATCAGTCTGGGAGGGTGAGTAGTTGTTAATGGGGACTGTTAGTGACTGACAACAGGGGGTGTGTAATGGCAGGCTATGTGGTAACAAGGCCTGGTGTGTGGGGTGGGGTCTGGGACATGGGAGAGTTTAGGCCCTAAAATTATTGAACTCAATATTGAGTCCGGAGGGCTGTAGGGTCCCCAAGCGGAAAATGAGGTGTTGTTCCTCCAGCTTGCGTTGGGCTTCACTGGAACACTGCAGCAAGCCAGAGACAGAGATGTTGGCCAGGGAGCAGGGTGGTGCATTGAAGTGGCAGGCAACAGGTAGTTCAGGGTCTTTTTTGCGAGCAGAACGTAGATGTTCTCCGAAGCAGTCACCCAGTCTACGCTTCGTTTCCCCAATGTAGACGAGACCACATTGTGAGCAGCGAATACTGTAGATTAGATTGTGGGAAGTGCAGGTGAAGTGTTGCTTCACCTGGAAGGTATGTTTGGGCCCTTGGGGAGGGAGGAGGTAAATGGGCAGGTGTTGCACCTTCGCTGCTTATGGGGGAAGGTGCCATAGGGCTGTGTGGGTGGGTGTTGGGGGTGAAGGAAGTGTGACCAGGGTGTCCCGGAGGGAACGGTCCCTGCAGAAGGTGGACAAGGGAGGGGAGGGGAATATGTGTCTGGTGGTGGCATCTCACTGGAGGTAGCGGAAATGGTGTCTGATGATCTTCTGGATGTGGATGTTGGTGGGATGGTAGGTGAGGATAAGGGGAACCCTATCGCTGTTGCGGGAGGGAAGGGAAGGGGTGAGGACGGAAGTGCGGGAGATGGGTTGGACCCGGTTGAGTGCCCTGTTGACAATGGAGGTGGGGAATCCTCGGTTGAGGAAGAAGGTGGACATTTCAGAGGCTCCTTTGTTGAATCAAACCATTTCCCATTCACTTCCACTCTACACTATCCCAATGGTTCCAAACCCCTTGCCATTCACAAGGCCGAACATCCAATCTGTTTTCAGACAGCAGTTGAGAGTCAACCACATTGCAGTGGGTCTGGAGTCACCTGTAGGTCTGATTTCCTTCTTTTCCTAAAGGACAGCAGTGAATGAGTTGGGTATTTATGATAGTTTCATAGTCTATGTCACTCAGACGAGCTCCAGATTTATGAATTCAATTTAACTGCTACCAACAGAGTCTGAACTTGTATCCATAGAGCAGTGACCTGTACCTTGGTATAGCTCCCTCCTCCCCCAGTACTGGTGCCCATTGCCATGAATTCAAACCCTTTTTTCCCATACCTACCTTTCAGCCACATGTTTATCTCTTTAACCTTGTTGACCCTGTGCCAATTAGCCCATGAGTCAGGCAGTAAAGCAAAGGAATACCTGGATGTGCTGAAGGCTGCTATAGAAATTCACTTCCCTCTTAGTTATGTTTTTGTGGTAGTTTACACTGGGTTGTTTTGTGGAGATCACCACCCACTCAGCAGACAGCATTATGCAGCATTACAGAGGAGGCCATTTGGCCCCTTCTGCCTGTGCTGTAGACCTGTGCAGGAGAACTTTCCTGTGATACTTGGGCCAATGGCTTACTCTTGTTCATTGGAGCTCCACTGGTATTTCGTGTAAAGGTCTATTCTGATTGGTCGTTAAATGCATCATTGTAGGTGAGGAAGGAGCACTCTGAGAAGATGGGTCTGCAGGAAGCTCTGGAGAAACAGAACAAGAGTTTACAACGGTTCAGTGAAGGTACCAGTTTACACTCTATTCACTGTGGGAACCTGCTTTCCATTATTAACTGGTTTGATGTTGGTTTGTGTAACTGTGGCCAAAATCCCAACCTCAATCTCCGTCTGTCTGTCAAAATCATTTAATTATTAGCACACACACCCTTCAGCGCATCGAGTCTGTACCACCAAATCTACACCAAATCTGCACTCATCCAGCACTTGGCTGGAATGTTATCACACTCCAAATGCCCATCCAAGTACTTTTTCAAAGGTTATGAGCTTTCCTGCCTCAACTCACCCCTCCCAGGCAGTGCATTCCAGACACCCACCACCCTCTGGGTGAAAATGGTTTCCTCAACTCCCCTCTAAATCTCCTGCCTTTCACTTCTAAATTATGCCTGCTTATTATAGACTCTTCAACTCGGGGGAACGTCTGCTTCCTGTCCATGTTCTGCATAATCTTATACACCTCAATCAGGTCATTTCTGCTCCAGAGAAAACCTGACCTTATCCGGCCTCTCTTCATTAGTAAACTGCTCCATCCCAGACAACATCCTGGTGAATCTCCTTCATATCCCCTCCAGTACAATCATATCCTTGCTACAGTGCAGTGGACAGAACTGCACACAGTACTCCAGCTGTGGCCTGAGCAGAAGTCCGACACAGCTCCAACATGGCCTGCCTGCTCGTATGATCTCTGCCTTGACTGATAACAGCTCCTTTCTTCCTCCCTCCCTCCCTTACCCCCTCCTTCCTTCCTTTTTTCCTTCCTTTCTTTCTTCCTCCCTTCCTACCTCCCTCCCTCCCTCCCTTCCTCACTTCCTTCCTTCCTTTCTTCCTCCCTCCCTTCCTCCCTCCCTTCCTCCCCCCTCCGTTCCTTTTTTCCCTCCTTCTTCCTTCCTCCCTTCCCTCCTCCCTTCCTTTCTTTGAATCTTTCTTCCTTCCTTTCTGTATTCCTTTCTTCCTCCCTTCCTCCCTCCCTTCCTTCCTTCCTTCCTTTCTTCCTTTCTTCCTCTCTTCCTCCCTCCCTCCATTCCTTCCTTTCTCCCTCCCTCCATTCCTCCCTTCCTTCTTTCCTTTCTTTGTTCCTTTCTTCCTCCCTCCCTCTCTCCCTTCCTTCCTTTCTTTGTCTCTCTCTCTCTCTTTCTTACTTACTTTCTTTCGCTTTCTTCATTTCTCTCTCTTTCTTTCTTTCTGTTTCATTGTCTTCATCTTGTTGCTTGGCAGAAAGGGTGCACTGTTGGGAGGTCACAGAGATGCTATAGAATGGGTTCGGTGAGTGGGTAACAGGGTGGCAGATGGAGTATAATGAGGGTAAAAGGGAAAACTGTTCACTTTGTAAGAATGGAATGGCAGCATTTCTTCATCGAAGTGTTGAAGTTCAGAGAGAATGAAGCATGCTGTTCCAAAGGAAGTGCAGAAAGTTCACATGAAAATAAAGAAGTACAGATGATGAAGATCTGAAACAAAGACAGAAAGTGCTGGAGAAACTCAGCAGGTCGTGCAGTATTCTGTGGAGGGAAAACAGAGTGAATGTTTTGAGTCCAGTGACACTTCTTTGGAACCAGACTTGAAACATTCGCTGTTTCCACTCCACAGATGCTGCCAGAAGGGCTGGGTTTCTATGGGAAGGTACTGTGCAGGGTCACATCTCTGTACCATAGCATGTAGCCTAAAGAGCTAAAGCTCTCAGATGCCATCTTAACTTGAGTCACACGACACATCAATGGAAGAATGCGATGCTTTATAATCGATTAACTTAATGTTAGTTCAGACAGAGATGTGACTGAGACTGTAATGTTTATAATGATAATGAGTTGTGATAAATATTTGTTGGATCTTTCAATACCATGTTACCCACTTCCTAGTTTCTGATGTAATGAGGGGCAATAGAAGTATTGCTGCTAAAGGTAAATGTACCCTCTCTGAGGGCAAACACACATCGTTCTCCATTCCCCTGCACACCACCAAATCCCCTCCCCAAAATGAGATGCCTCCCCCTGCCCCAACAGGAACAAACCTGACGTCTGTACAAATAATCTCACCACAGTCTCCTCGCTGGTGACCCGCGAATACGAGGACCTCAGGCAACATCTGCAGCTGGAGCAGGACCTTCGAAAGCAGGCAGAGAGCTACGCCCATCAGGTCAGTGAGTGAGAAGTGTGAGGGAGAGAGGGATTAGAGTGAAGTGTGATCAAGAGGAAGGAGAGTAAAGTGCGATGCAGTCAGTGTGGAATTGCTGTCTGTTTTCATTGCATCAAGACACAAGAGCTATTGGTATAATCCCAGCTGATGTTATTCATGGTCCAGTCAGTAATGAAATCTAAAGACTGAAATCTGGCTTGATAGATTTTTTTTTGGTTTTAATGAGATGGTCTCTCACTGAAACATAGGCCTGTAATGCTGCAGATTCAACAATTTTAAAAATTAAACTGTGGTTTATTACCCAAAAGAAATGAAGACAAAATGGAATGAACTAAACTATTTATATCTAACACAAATTTAATGAATTGGAAATGCACAGTAAATTACAATCCCATTAATCTCAATGCACACCTTTACACTGCTCACACCAGAGGAGATTACTTTCTCTTTCACATCTATCATGCTTAATTGAACTGTGGTTTCACTTCTCCATCTTGAGAATATGACATTCTCTTCCTGGAGCTTTCGTGCAACTGAGCTTAGACTTTCTCAGCTTCAAATATTTCCAACAGGAAGTAACGCACAAAAGTGTAACCATACAGTCGTTGTCTGGAACTTTTAAACTAACCTCCTATTTCTTAATAGTCCAATACTGCCCCTCTTTCCCAGGAGCAACTATTTTACACAACAAAATGAAAACCAAAAGAACTGCGGATGCTGTAAATCAGGAACAAAAACAGAAATTGCTGGAAAAGCTCAGCAGGTCTGGCAGCATCTGTGAAGAATAAAAATCAGAGTTAACGTTTTGGGTCCGGTGACCCTTCCTTAGAACTGATGATGGCTGGAAAAATGTTGACAATGAGGTCAATTGTATTATTCATCCCACTCCCATGGGAAAGACTTACAAGAGAGAGAGCAGCAGAAGCTGGGCTTTATGCAGTACGGGTACGGAGACGGACAGGAGGCAGAGTCGGGAACTCTGGAATGCTCTTATTTTACAAAGGCTGTGTTTCTTTCAAAGGGAGATTATTTTCTCTCAAACCCCACCTTTCACTCTCTCACTCTCTCTGTCCCTTCTCCCGGAGTAACAGATGCGGGTGAAGAAGCAGGAAGCCAGTCGGCAAAGTATAATCCTGCTGGAAAACACAAGTCCAAGCATACAGCTTCTCAAAGCCTTGGAGGAGGTGGCCAACGTTACAAAGGCCTTGGAGGAAGAAAAGTTCAAACACCTGCAGCAGGTCAGTCATGTGAGTGTGGGGTTGCAGTTCACGGGGGTCGGAGTGAGGGGTCTGTTTTCACCGACCCCCACCTCAGTCCTGGAATTCCCTCCCTAAGGGCATTATGGGGCTGCCTATAGCACATGGACTGCCCATCAACTTCTCAAGGGCAACTAGGGACGGGGACAATAAGTGCTGGCCCAGTCAGCAATACAACAGATCAATACAAAAGGTCTCCCCTTAACCCCCGCCTCAGTCTCTCCCTGACCCCCTCTCAGTCTCTCCCTGACCCCC